TGTATTGGTCTTGAATAACCGTACTGGACTTTCATGAACCGTATTGGGTTTTAATAGAACGTATTGGTCTTTGGTGGAACGTATTGTGCTTTAGTGTAACGTATTGGGCTTTAATGTACCATATTGGGCTTTAATGAATCGTATTGGGCTTTAATGGAAGTATTGGGCTTTAATGAACCGTATTGGGCTTTAATGGACTGTATTCGGCTTTAATGAATCGTACAGAGCTATTATACTTGGGATCCGGCTTTGGACGCCCAGATCCTGGAGATATGGGAGAGAAAGTCGGCCAAGCCGTATAATGATAACATGAGTGCCGCGAGGAAGAAAGCTGGGGAAAAAGCAAGGATGAATGAGTATCCTCAGTACGATGAAACGGACCCCAACCGAGATATGAGTGTGTTGAAGAATTTCCCTCCCAGCTGGATATCTTCAGATGTGTGGGTCCAGATGGTTGATCGTTGGAACAGTGATAATTGGGAGGCTGTTTCCGGTGTAGCACGTGAGAACCGTGATAGCCAAGTTACGCTACACACCGGTGGATTGATACCATTTTCGGAGCATGGTACTCGTCTCGTAGAACCGAAAACCAATTAATTTAGTAGTTTGATTTTTAATATGTTATAATTAACATACGTTTGTATTATTTGACCTTTGTAGACACGAGCAAAAGATGGCGTGCCCCCGACCGTTGTGGAATTGTTCGATTACACACACAAGAAAAGGTCGAGTGGAGATGTGGCATCTACGGATTCGGGGGGGGGGGGTATGTGACCACAAAGCGTAGCCAAGTAATGGTTAGTATATCTATCTATCTATTATAATTGGGTTGTCATTTGCTGGGCAAATATTATAATTTGTTAAGTTAGAAATTACGTATATATATACGTATATATATATATATATATATATATATATATCATTATTTAGTTTGGGTTGCCATTTGTTGGACAAACGTTATGATTGTTTAAGTTAGAAATTACGTATATGTCATTATTTAGTTTGAGTTGTCATTTATTGGGCAAACATTAGGATTGTTTTGGAAACGTCCCATTTATAGCCGTTATGCTGTCAAAATTGACTTGCAATATTTTTTAAACTATATATAGGATGAGTATTCAACTGGTATCAGCTAAAGATACAGCGATGATCCCTCCACCTATCCCTTAGTTGATAAAGAGTTGTGGGAGCAAGCGGTTGGGGGAAGCAAGAAAGACCGTTTATTTGGGTTTGGGTACAGCCAAGATCCCAATTGTGCCTTGACCGGGAACTACACGGAAGGTGGTTCATCATCTTCAGATAAACACGTATGTGTCTCTTTTCCTTTGATGATGTTTATCAACTTAGTTTATAATTCATATTAAATATTATAACGTTTTATTTATTTTATAGTAAATTCAAACCATAAGGACCCAACTTAGAGACTTACAGGAACAAAGTCAGCGCCAACGGATGGCGGAGGAGGAGCGATGGCGGGCGGAGGAGGAGCGATGGCGGGAGGCGGAGGAGCGACGTTTGGCGGAGGAGGAGCGACAGCGGGTGGAGGCGGAGCGACGACGACAGAGGGAGGAGCAACATGATAGACAATTTCAAGATATGGCTGCTTTGGTTAGACAGCTCAATCAATCTCAACATTTCCCCCCGCCACCACCATATTGAATATTGTCTTTTGCTTTGAAACAATTTAGTTTTGTTTATAACAATTTAGTTTTTGTTTGGTTAGAATAATTGTAGTTTCACTTTAATGTATGATATTTAGTTTTATTTCGCCTTTTTAGTTTCATTTTTAATATTGTACAGATTTACAAGTTTTAAATACAGGTTTTAAATATTAATTTTAAAATAAATTTAAAATATTAATATTTATATATTTTTTCCCGCGGATTTATTCGCCGGTAATGTTTGTAATATAAATATATTTTTTAAATTTTTTTAGAACTAATATATATATTCTTTGCGGCGGATTTCCGGCGGAAATATACGCCGCTATTTTTTTTTAATTAAAGATATATTCTTTTAGAAAAGATTAATATTTTTTCCAGCGAGAAAGATTTCCGGCGGATTTTCGGCGGAATATTTGGCCGGTAATTTTTTTTATAAAAAAAAATACTTAACCGTTTGTTAATTTAATCAAGATTTTATAAATAAACCGGTGAGGAATTTCCGGCGGCCGTGATCCACCGGAAATGGGGAAAATCCGCCGGTTTTTCCGCCGAAAAAAATCACCGGCGCCACTTTTTCCGGCGGCCATATCCGCCGGAAATCCACCGGAAACAGTGATTTCAGGCGGAATTCCGACGGATATGGCCGCCGGAAAAAGTGGGGTTTTTGGTAGTGGATGAACCTTATGTGAATACAAGATACACACTGTGATACTTATAAACAATATTCGCTGTGGATACCCATATATACATACAAGATGCACAATGTGATACTCTTTGTAAAGCAATGAAAATAACAAAAATGCATATTATGATACATTTTATAAAACAAAGAAAATACATTGTGATACACGTGAAACATTATGAACGTTATCACTATGATACACTTTAATTCACAAACGTTTTTAAAATACGATGTATATTAGGTAATTGATATATACTAGATAACTAATTTGTATTAAATATTTACTTCTAAAAATATTAATTAAATATTTTATTTAGTTGTCAAAAATAGAATTAATATATTACTCTTTTAGCTTATTTAAGAAACATCCTTAAATATCTCAAACGAATGATTCACATTGGATTTCACAGTTAGCACAAACTAATCAGTTACCCCTTGAATGGGCCCCTATATATATATATGTATATATATAATATATGTATATATATATGTATATATATATATATATATGGTTGGGTTCACGTGAGATCAAGGATTTTTCGTGAGACCCGTAAGACCAATTTATGTTCATTGATCAAATTTATGAATTAATGATCTAATGATTGCAAAGTTGCAAGGTGGCAATTTCGTAATTAGTGAGAAGTCTCGTGGCGTTTATAAATGTTCAGATCTGACGATGGTAAATCTAATCCAAGGGTTGAGAATTGGTCTTACGGATCTCACGAAAAACCATTGGTCTCACATGATCCCAAGTCTATATATATATATATATATATATATATATATGTATATATAAGATAAATTGCATAAATTTTTGAAAATATTCAACAGTAATCTCATTTTAAATGCACAAATATAAAGCTTTTCTAACTGTGTAATTTACAAAATTAAATATGTATTTTTAGCTAAAATTGTTATTATTTAATTTATTTAATAAAGGTATAACAGATAAAATGAAAAGGTAGGGAAGACAAAAAAGAAAAAAAATACAAACCACAGGGGTCGAAAAACATAATTTTACTTTATAATCTAAAAGCATCTCCAATAGAGGTTAATGGGGAGGTTAATGGGAGCCATTACATGCATCATGCATTGTGAAGGAAGGTTAATGGGAGGTTAATGGAACAGAGGTTAACGGCCATTGTACGCATCATGGGGAGGTCAATGGACCCACTAATTTATTTTTTCTTTTATAATTAAATTTGTAAAGATTTAATTATGATATTATATATATATATATATATATATATATATATATACTATAATATGATATTTATTAATCAATAAATTAATTTTTATTTTTATTTTTCTTAATTTATAAAAACAACATAATTAATAAAACATTACATTAATTTCAAAATACATTACATTAATAAGATATTACATTAATTTTAAAATACATTACATAAACTACATTTAGATTTAATTTCGTTTCATTTTCATTTTAATGTATTATTCCTTGTTTTTAGTAGATTTTTAAATTTGTTGGTAAAATTATATTTATAGATAATATATATATATATATATATATATATGATGTGGAAATCCATTAAACTCATTGGAGTGTTATGGAGTGTGGTATAAAATGATAGAGTTGTATGGTGAGTGGAATGCTGATGTGACAATCCATGACACTCTGATAAAGTGTCATGCATTGGAGATGCCCTAATAAAGAAGAAGACAAAAACAAAAGTAAATGAACCAAAATATTCTTAATTTAACTAAAACTAGTACGAGATATCAAAAATGAAATAAAATGACACCTAAGCGATTAAAATTGTAATTTTTTTAAAAATTTATAAGGAGTGACAACTTATGACCAAAAAGCAATTTCCTAAAGTTATAATTTATATAATCAAACGAAACATCAAGTTATTTGATTTTTACATGCATGGCGATGAACTCAGGACACTGTATCAACAAAATATCATACGCTATGTTCGTGGGGTATTTGTATTGTTTCAAATTTGCAAAATAGAAGTAGGACATTCTACTGTTTCTACGTGATTCGATACAATATGGAATTTCAGTAATAAATTTTGAGGGTTTTCATAGGTTTGTAGAGATACTTAAGGATACATATACGTGTTTATGATAGAATAACAAGATGTGTGTAGATTGGCATCGTGATAAACGAAGTTTAATTAATCACTTGATTATTTTAAAATCCTTCAAACCGGATGTAGAGAAAGCGATTGGAAATGATTCAACCAATCACCCATCGGTAGCTGATGTGGTCGGTTAAATACCACCAACTACTTGCTTGTTTATTTCTTGTGGACATTAGACCATGCATGGACCATGAGATCAAGGAAGAAAAGTCTACGATTAATGAAGCTTTTGGTCCAGAAATTCTTGCAGGTGGCTGGAACCAAGACGTAAGTCCACCATTGTAGGCGACCAAGCAGCTATAGCTGGCATGTCAGGCTGGCTACCTATAAGAGCTGACTCGACATCAAAGACAAATCGATTTTATAAGTCTTGTCTTATTATGTTTATGTGTCATAATAGATGCTCTAGTATCATGTAAGACATATCAAAATTGTTTTAAGAACGCAAGTTATCATGATATTTAGACAATTTGGCTGTCCTAGAGTACTGTTTTCTGTGAAATATAAAGAAAGACTAAATGATATTTGATAACAGATGTATCAAAATTGAAGCGTTTAAGAATCTAGTACACATATATTCACATTATCGAACAGGCATTCACATTTTCATCACTAAAAGCAATGGTAGCCCTTTCGCCAACAGCAGTCGAATAAGGCAAGTGCTGATAGGTAACATGTTGTTGTCCATTGGACCCATGCTCGTAGTAGTTGTACGTAGAGATGTCAGCTGGCTGCTCGACATGGAAGTAAGTAGCTGGGTCGCTATGGTAAGTGTACATATCGGCATACTCCTGCGTGTACCCAATCACCTCCGGGTTGTTCGGAAATGGCCATAACTCAGCTTTCTTTCCTGTTCTTCTCACTTTCCTCAGAACCTTTTCTTGATCGATCCATCCACTCACTGTTACCTTTTGCATGTTCATGTCTATATCAATACTCTCCACCCCTGAACAACAAGAAAATATCATATATTTTACACATTATATATATACATATAAAAAAAATATGAACCTTCGTATGCCAAAATATAATGCATGGATTGTTGTTGGACATAGCTTGTAGAGGTGTTAGAATGAGAGAGATGGAATGATATATACGTACCGTTCATGTTTCGAAGGGCCTTTCTAACTTTGCGTTCACAGCCATGGCAGTCCATGTTCACTATCATCTCCACGATCTGAAAAATAGAAATTAGGTTTCAGTTTCCTGGTTTTTTCCATTAAATCCCACATCAAACCACACGTATGCTTATGGAAGTAACTTTTGAAACTATGTCTAGCTCAACTCTTAAGGAAGTTATTTAATTAAGGATATGCCTAATGCCTTGATGTGTACATATAATACAACTAGGATAGATATAAATTTGGTTAACTCCTCAAGTTTGTTTCTTATATAGCTGACTTTTCTATTATATTAATTCTACAACTATTTCCTGGAACAAATGGGTTGTTACATGCAAATATAGATTATCCAACACTTGCAAGCTACTAGTTTGGTGCCAAAAACAAACGATGGTAATCCATTTTGATTTAAACCAAATTTATACTCTTCATGCAACGAATATAGAACTATTGTGTTGAATTTATAGAAATGAGCATCAATCGTGCAACTTTTCTACTCTTTCGAGCAACTATTGGTTTTGGGGTATATATAAAATTCAATCAAGCTAAGGTTTTGTTTAAAAGAAGAACAAAAGTTAAATGCTAACTAGTGTATATAGAAAAAATTACCCATATATGACCAGCAGCCCTGATATATAATTCACTAGATATATGAGATTCAAACTTATATAACTCAAAAACTATAACATGCCCATGTGGTAGATCAACAATGCGTGATCGTTCCGCATATCCACAACAACAAACCACACACATATCATATATATGCTTGATATGTATGCTTTTATATGTTTCATGTGTGCGTGGGACTGCAACTGTCTTTATATTCATGTTCATGTTTATGATATATATATATATATATAGAGAGAGAGAGAGAGAGAGAGAGAGAGGCTCACTGTCATGTTCGAGACTTGAAGAGAGAGAGCCGGAGAGAGATGATGATAATGGTGTAAAGTTGATGAATGCAGATAAAAGGGGTGGAGTTTATATTTATAGAGAAAAACTCGAAACACGTTTTGGTTACTTGTGGATCAAGTTTCTGTGTGGTGTCGATGTATTTCACATGAATGTTTTCTTGAGGAAAACATTTTTGTAAGCTTGATTTATTTGTTATTGTTTATTTTGAGAGCAGTTTAAATATATTATTAATAATTGAGTATTTTATTTACATATATATTGAATCAGGCATAGATGAATTCCTTAGTTGTTGTTGGGGTTATTAAAAAATGGCATTTGTAAAGTTTGAGAAGATAATGCGAAAGTACATTGTAATAAACAAGGAAATTGTTAGGAGATTGTTAGATAAGTTGCGTCTATATTCTCCACAACTCCAACTGGGTTTCCAATATTTTTAGAGGAAATTACATTTTTGGTACCTATGCTCTTGTTTTCAACGGTTTTTGTCGTGTGATTTGTAAAAACGCTCTAATTCAGTCCCTCGTTTTAACACCATCAAAAGAATGGGGGCGTTTTAATGGGTAAATTGCACGGAAAAGTAACAACATACTTTAGTTTTATTCTTATTCCGGGTAATATATTTCCAAAACTTTCATATTTTGTACATGAGATGTGAAATTTTAAACTTTTAAGTATCTGATTTACCTATACATTTCAAGCAACCGGTAACTAAATATGGCGTGTATTTTCTAAAATTGATGTGGAAAAAAATATTACATGCATTTTAGTGACATGCAAAATTAAAACACATTATTTTATTAAAACTAGGAATTCAGTCGGCACCTTCTCCCCGATCCGAATTTCCCATCGTTCATTCTTCTTCAATTGGATGGAGCACCCGTTTTGCAGATCTTTCATGCTCATCGTCACCAATCTTCTTCTACAAAAATCCTCGTTTTTCTTCTGCATCAACTCGATGTTTCTGTTGTTTTAGAGTTTTTTTAAATCTCACTTTTTTTGTGCTTTCAGGATTTGAAATTAGTGTATGAGATTGAAAGAGTATATATACCATGTCTTTCTTTGCTTTTGAATTAGTTTTCACGAGATTTCCTAAATAAGGAACAAAATTTGATGCTTCAGCAACGGAGTTGTACTTTGTGCATGTATGATCTATTAGACTAATAAGACAAACCTTTGAGTTTGAAAATAAGATAGTTTCTGCTCTTAATACAACTCAAAGACATGGTTGTTTGAATTTAATCTCCACTAAAGGTTTGAAATTTTTAGAGATTTGAATGCTACCCTCTAGTGAATTTGTTTTCTAACCATCATATTTATAATTATGTGGTAAATCAATCATCATAGTGTGATTCATACGAGAACAATAACAAAATAAAAGAATATGAAAACAGTTAAATCACGTGAATATCACATGTGGTTTTACAATAACGGTAAACGGAAGGCTGTGTGAGCGACATGGCATGCTATCTCAGGACATGGCCAAAGTTCTGTGAATCACATGTGATTTTATACATGATTTTAGTCTAAAACCACATGTGATTCGATTGTTTTTTATGTTCTTTTATTTGGTTATTTTTCTCGTATGAACTTGACTATATATAGGTTTGGGTTCAGGTAAAACCAACCTATTTTCGTGAGACCCATTACACCAAAAAATAACACTGAAAATTCATAGCAAAACATTGTGAAGAAATGAAAAACATTGAACCTTCACAATACAAATATTGTGAAGGTAAACCTTCAAAATGTTTTTGTTGTGAATGTTCAATGTTATTTATGTGGTCTCGCGGGTCCCACAAAAGCAGTTTGGTCTCACATGATCCCCAAGTATATATATATATATATATATATATATATATATATATATACTAGAAGAGTACTCGCGCAATGCAGAGAGACAAATCTCGATTTTAATGTTCTATTTTGTTATTTGTCTCTGTCGATGTTATAATACGATTTTATGTGTTTTTAAGAAAACAATAATAATTTTATTTTTGAATAAAATATAAATTTAAAAAAAAAATATATCAATGTTAATATCAAATCAACTATTTAAAAGTTCTCATTTTTATGTAATTTCTTTAAATTATTTTTTTTATTATAATTTAATTTAAGTTTAACAACAAAATAATTTATTTTTGGTTTAATAATWTAACATTTTATAAAKATAATAWTTAAGTATTCTGTTAGAACTCAMTRATTATCCTAATTATATTTTAGATTTTTTATATTTAAAATGAGATGTTTATTCTGTATTTGATTATGTTTATCTACAATTAGATACACGAATTCAGATATGGAGTTTTGATAAGTTTTACTTACGCACGATCTACTCGTAATATTGAGTTGTAAGTAATATGCATTAATAAACAGTACTTTACGTATAAAAATTGGTTTTTAATAGTTTTTATCAAATGTTTTATAATATAATATAGATAATATAGGATTATGTGTTTTTAAGAAAGCAATTTATATTTTATTTTTGAATAAAATATAAATTTGAAGATATCATAAATTTTTAAAAAAATATATCAATGTTAATATCAAATCAAGTATTTAAAAGTTTTTATTTTTTTATTATAATTTAATTTAAGTTTAATTATGAAATGATTTATTTTTGGTTTAATATTATAAATTTTATAAAGGTAATAATTAAGTATTCTGTTATTTAATGATTATCCTAATTATATTTTAGGTATGAGATTAAAAGTGATCAAATGTTCAGATCTCTTTTTACGTTTTTCACCATAACTTTTCTTCTCATACGATGCTTCACCTATATATTTATACATATATATAATAAAGATAAATTCAAATAAAAACCAAATTTTCATTGCAAATCAAGGTAGAATCTTTTCCCACCATCTCTATGTGATCAAAAAACTCATATTAGATAGACTCTTTTAAATTATTAATTATAGTGATTAGGGTAAAAATGAAGTCTATTTCAAACATCCCTACCTTATTAGATTTTTTATTTCTTTTTAACTAAAAAAATTTACACCATTAATTTTAAACTAAATTATCTTAAAAATTATAGTATTTTAATCAAACAAATCAAAAAACGAGAATTTTCGTGCTCTTTGATATGACATCCATCTTGATATAGTTTTTTTTTTCTCGTTTTACCCGTTTTACGTGAAATGTTATATGTGTAATATTCATTATGAATATTCATGTATGTTCAAGTATGTACAAAAACTTGACACCATAAATTTTTGACTTGACATTACCTTTTTCAATGCTTTCTTCAATGTCATAAGCACACAACCTGATCGACACCGCATTCTTCATCACGTAAACCCAACACCTATCGAGAATCCATCGACACCGAGCGAGAACCTATCGAGACTGGCCGATAATACATTCATTGACTTGCTTTGCGTTTATTTGTATAAAACCATAACCTACCACCTTCATTTTTTTTATCGAGTGCCTATTAATTTATTATCCGTTTGTGTGTGTAAAATCATAGCCTACCACTTTCAACTTTTAGTGAGATGGATAGGGACTGATCAAGACCAATCGAGAACTCATCGAGACCAATCTAGACTAATCAAGAATCCATCCATTGACTTGGTGTTTGGTTGTGTGTGTAAAATCATAACCTACCACTTTCATTTTTCATCGAGACCAATTGAGAACCTATCGATTGATTTAGTGTGTGTTTGTTTGTGTAAAGTATAACCTAGCACGATCATCTTTTATAGAGATGGATTGGGAACCTACTGAAATGAATCGGGAACTCAGGAGATTAATCGAGAATCCAATAAAGAAAAAGAAAATTAGAGTATGATTAGTTGAAACTGTAGTATATTCATGATTGAATATTATAGTGAAAATTAATATTTATGATAAATATCATCCTAATATGAATACTGGAGAGTTGTATACACGTGATCATACATAAATATTTATGATGAATAATATGTATATTGTAACGCCCACTTTTTTTTACCATGAGAAATGTTATGTAATCTAAAACGAATTCCTAAATAAATACTTCAAAATGACGGCTAAATTAAAACCGCTTAAACCGTTTACAGCAGAAGTTTTTGAATCAACCAAAAACTTAACTTAAGTTACAAATGATCAACACTTGAATGTCTAGACAAAAGATTAAATATAAAATGATAATAGGCAACTCTCTAAGCGTTTCCTTTGCCCTTATCCAACCTCGAACTACTTAGCCCTGAGATGCATATTATAGTCAGCTTATAAAACTTAGTGAGTTCATGGTTTGTAAGAATAAAATCATATCTTGATATATATATATATATATATATATATATATATATATGCATGCTTTATAATAAAAGTCGCAACTTTACAAAAATATATTTGGAACACTGAAAAGAAGAGGTCTCATGTAGTGCTTAGTCGAATATGGATCATTTAGTCATAAACACGCCCTGGGTTAATATGTCAGTCTCAATTTATCACCCACTTATATGTGTCGTGTTTTATGCTGGTCATGACTTACTGGTCAGATGCCCACCTTTTAATTATGAAACTTTAGTATGAAATATCATGTTAAAATTGTTCGAAAACTGATTAAACACATAGCATGCAACCCTTCACAAAATAGCATACATGTAAAATATATTGTAACATGTATGTAACTAAAATATCATGCATATGTACACATTATCAATGATTCATATCATGCTATAATAAATTTGTACTTAGGTGTGCATTCCAGTGAAATCTCATGAAGACTCACCTGACAACATGGGTTGCTTAACGAAAGTTGTTGGCTGGTAACCTACAATTTATAATATCGAATAGTGCATTAATGATTAACTTCTCCAAAAGCCAACATAAAACTCAACCTACGGTCAACTATGTCAACTATGTTGCATTTGTTACATGGAATAATAGTGAATTCCTTGCTTCGTGCTTTTGCCAGAGTTGGAGTTTATTTTGATTTCTTGTTGGACTTGTTTGATCCTTCCCATATCTTCTATCATAATTCTCCCAAGCGTTGTTCTCTTCAGCCACCTTTGCCATCTCCACTGCTTGGACAAA